AGAGGTCTAGGGAAACAAGATTTTTAAAGGGCAAAACCACAAGCAGGGGCTCCAAGCTTTGGGTAGGGGATTTGCTTTAGACGCCATGACCATAAAATGGTTCTGGCCTGGCTGCCTGGAGAGTATTTGATCATGAGTAATGCCTGGAATGTGTTGATTAGCTGTTGCTAGGGAAGGTCAATTAGCACACTCTGTGGTCACAAGCTAAGGGTCCTCTGGGTGGGTTGCCAGGAAGCAATATCTCTTAAGTGTAGCAAGGAATGTGGTTGAGCCTGATTACTCCCTGCAGTGGGCCAGACATGTCTTAAGTTTACCCAATCCTTTGTCTAGACTTTTACTCAGGACTTCCGTCATGCAGCCCTAAGACTCTAATTTTAAACTTTGAACCTCTCACAGCCAGTGTTCTTAACCTCTGTGCCATCTCTCCAGCCCTAGCAGTTTCTTTAATGCACCTCCGTGTATGTATCTGGTGCAGAAACCCAGGATGTAGAAGAGGGTTTTCCAACAGGTGTGTGCAAGAGGGGTGCAGTAAACCAACTGTTGAAATGACCACCCTACAGTATGGTTAAGGAGAAGGGTTTGTTGTTGTGGTTTGGTTTGGTTTGGTTTGGTTTGGTTTTTTGGTGCATAAGAGAGAGTCCAAAGCAGAGAGAAAGAGAGAAGTAGACGAACATGGCCATGGCTCTCTGTGAGAGAAGGGAGATAGAGAATAGAGAGGGCATAGTGAGAATAGCAAGATCCCAGAATAGTGAGAATAGTTATGAGGAAGAGTAGCTGAGGGGAGGGAAGCCCATGAGCTAGGAGGAGTTTAGGGTAGAGGAGGTGAGAGGAGCTGAAATGTGTAAAAGGTCTTTGTGATACGGAGGGAGCCTGGAGGCCAGCATGAGCTTTGATATGCTGGTTGATAGCTATGTGTCCCTTCTGCCAGAGGTAAGGGAAATGACTTTGTCAGATGGGAACTGAACAAATTCCTAAGGGATGCTGTCTTTTATTTAGACACCAGAAATTTTCCCGTAGTCCAGACTGAGCTCATTTCTGGAATATGGACTGCATTTTGAAGTTTGGGGAATTAGAGTTTCCTTTACCTGACAGTTATGTTATATTAAGGTTATAGGCAGAAGCTCTTTGAAGTCAAAGCTATCCAAGGCTCAACAGTGATCTCAGTTTATTGTGGAAACGTTTGAGCAGTGCCTGAGGGCAAGATCTTGTAAGTAAAACTGCTTTCTTTTTGTTGTTGTTTGGTTTGTTTGTTTGGTGTGGTTTTGGTTTTTCAACACAGGGTTTCTTTGTCACTCTGGCTGGCCCTGGCTCTGTAGAAAAGATAGGCCCGCCTAGCTGTGAAGCTGCTTTCTGAGCTTTCTGCTGATGTTGAAATGGAGGGTCAGAATGCTCTGGAAAGCGTGGACTTCAGGTGAACACGTGTGTTTCTATATATTTTGTATTCAAAGGCGCGTTGTTTAATCTGAGCCTCAACTTTCTGTTTTAAAAAAAAGCACTATTAATAGCAGTCTTAAAGAGTTATTATCAACATTGAGGGAGATAACCAGAGAGATTATCCAAAAGCCCTGATGATCTGGCCCTGGGGGTCTGGAGCAGGTTTGTTTCCTCTGCCTGTTAAAAAACTAAGGGGCAGGAAAATCTCAACTACAACAGGAGCAGACAGAATCAGCAGTTGAAGAAAGACAGTTACTCGGTGTGAGGAAACACACTTGTGCAGCGGGCGCACAGAGAAGACCACCCTCTGCCAAGCCAAAAAAAAGTTCATTCTCAAGAGCTGGAGTGTGTAAGGTCTCTGAAGAGTTCTCCCCCCACCCCCAATTTAAGGTTGGTCGGTCTGAGTAAAGATAGGATTGCTTGGTGCAGTTACCGTACAACCTGCCCTGAGCCAGCCTTGAACTTGCTGAGACAGTCCGTCAGCAGTGTGCCTGCCGGTGAGAGGCAAAAGGCTACGGGGCCCTGGTTTTAGGCTTCCAGGCTTTTGTCCCAAAGCAGGAGGATGACAAAGAAGCCAGCCATTTTATAAATTTGCTATCTTTATCACCTAGCCGCGGCCTCTGCCCTTGCCTTTGTGCCCACTAGGGCGTCTGTCTAACGCCTGCTCTCTCAATGGCACGATCAGGGGTGTATCACTGCTCAACTACAAACATTCTAGCCATTTGTTGGTCTGCTAACGTTTTCCTCTTAACGTGAGTGGAAGTTTCACACTTAATGTTGTTGTCCAATTTATTGTGTCTGGGTCTAAAGATCTTGCTTTGGGATATGACTACAGATGCTGAATTTAAACTCTTTCATTGTCAAAATTTCTCTTCATGTTTGCCTCTTTGTGTACTAACATATTATTCCATGTTTTTCCCATCCAAAACAAAAGAACAGAATATTTTTAATTTTTATTTTATTTGATTTTTTTACAATGTATTCACTTTGTGTCCCGATTATAGCCCTCTTCCTCATCTCCTTCCATTCTACCCTTCCTCCATCCTCCCTCCATCTCCTTTCTTTAGTCCACTGTAAAGGGGGAGTCCCCTCCCCTACTGTCTGACCCTAGTCTATTAAGTCTCATCAAGACTGCCTGACCTGATAAGGCCACCCTGTCAGAGGGAAGTGATCACAGGGCAGGCAACTGTGTTCATGTCAGAGACTGCCCCTGCTTCCCTTACTAGGGAACTCACTTGGAAACTGAGCTGCCTGTGGGCTACATCTGAGCAGGGGTTCTAGGTCCTCTCCATGCATGGCTTTTGGTTGGTACATTAGTCTCTGCAGGCCTCCCTGGGCCCAGATTTTTTGGCTTTGTTGGTCTCCTTGTGGAGCTCCTGTGCTCTCTCCTTTTTGTTCTATCCCCCTCTTCCATAAGACTCCCTGTGCTCTGCAGTATTTAAGTTCCCACTTACCCTTCTAAGTCTGACTTTTTGGAATTTCTTTAAAAAAAAAAAAAAAGGACCGAAGGCCAAGGAGATGGTTTAGTGGGTAAAGCACTTGCCATGCAAGCATGAGGAATTGAATTTGGATCCTTATCTCACGTGAATCCTAATGCTTCTAAGAAGAGATAGGAAGCAGAGAGAAGAGAATCCTGGGAAGGCTGTGGATCAGCTAGCCTAATGTACACAGTGCCAAATAACAAGAAACTCAGTCTCACAAAAGGTGGAGGGCGGCGGGGGCAGATGCCTGAGCCTGTCCTCTAACCTCAGCGTGCACTGTGGCACACGGAGCACCGTCATCAACAACAGAGAAAAATGTGTGCACAGCATGTCCTTGCCTTCTAAACCCATTGGAATGCTCCATACCCCACTGCTAATTCTGTTCCCACCCTACCTCCAACTTCTTAGCAGTTCTTGCTTATGCCTTTTCTTAAAGCAGCCATTGAAAATGTCAGACTTCCGATGACTCCAGCCTCAGGTGCCCGCAATCTGACTATATGTAGTTCTGCGAAAACCCCAAGTGAGAAGGCCCAGCAAGAAGCTCCAGCTAAGCCCACAGTCCCCTGAGAGGAATCAGTCGTCCTAAGCAACCAGGGGTTGGGGGTGCTTTCTGTTGTTTTGTTTTGTTTTTTTGAGACAGGGTTTCCCTGTGTGGCCTTGGCTGTCCTGGACTCGCTTTGTAGACCAGGCTGACCTTGAACTCACAGAGATCCACCTGCCTCTGCCTCCCGAGCTCTGGGATCACAGGCGTGTGTGTTGTGGCGTTTTAAGCCATACTAGGATTACAGGCACACCCAGCATGTTGGGGCATTTTAAGGCAATGAATAACCGTGAGAGAGAATCAGTTTAAGAAAACTGATTCCCTAGTACCTCAGTCTTTCATTGTTTTACGTTTTCTTAATTTTGACTGTTAACACCTTTGTATTTGGAACTGAACTTATTTGGGATGTTAATGATTATCTGGCCTCCGGCTGTTTTGCATTCTCTACCTTATATTTAAGAACCCCTTTTATAATACTTAATATTATTATGCTGTTTTTCTTTCTCCTTTCAAACAGTTCACCTGGGACCAATGTTTGCTTTTCTTTCTTACCAACAGTATTGTCTTCATTAGGGTTTCTGTTGCTATGAAGAGACTATGACCACAACTCTTATAAAGGAAAACATTTAATTGGAGCTGATTTACAGTTCAGAGGTTTAGTCCGTTCATGGCAGGAAGCGTGGTGGCTCACAGGCAGACATGGTTCTGGAGAAGAAGCCAAGATTTCTAAATCCAGATGGGAAGGCAGCAGGAAGGGAGAATGACAGTGGGCCTGGCTTGAGAATTGGACATCTCAGATGTCCACACCCAGTGACACACTTTCTCCAACAAGGCCACACCTCCTCATAGTGCTACTCTCTATGAGCCTCGGGGCCATTTTTATTCAAACCACCATGGCCATAAAATGGCTAATACCACCAAACTCAGTGACAGTTGGTGTTAGGGTTGGAGTTAGGGTTGTGCCTCAGTATCGACATTTCAACCCTGTTTTTGCCACAGTAGATTATGTACAGAAGGACACGGGATATATAGCGTGTGTACTGAACTAAGAACTTCAGGAATGATACTTGTTTAATAAGATGAGCCACTGGAGGCCTAAAGAAGATAGGTATTCATACAACTGTCAGTCTCATTACCATAAACATCAGGTCTCGGTTATGTCCTTCTCAATTCAGATAAGCTTGGTATTTGTGAAAATTCAGGAAGAATTTAGTAGTAGTAAGTATCATGCAAATGTTTAAAGTAAGGTTTACTATCATATAATTGCTCTTATTGAATAATATAGTCTCACTGTGGGTACATTTAAAAAAATTATTTTGCTTATTATTGGGGTTATGACAAGCACGTGGATGTCAGAATATAATTTTGTGGAGTGAATTCTCTTCTTCCACCTTCATTCATATGGGGTCTGTGAATCCTACTTAAATCATCAGGCTTTGATGACAAGATCTTTTACCTAAGAAGCCATCTTGCCAACCTGAAGAGGGCAAATTAAGTCCAAAATTTTAATTAGCTTTCTACTGCATTATTTTTGCTTATTCTAGTTCTAACAACGGGTGGAATTTGCTATGGATAATTCATATGATTTAAATAAAGAAAGCTCGTGGAACGGAATCTCGTCTGAGAAGAAGAATTTCCTTACTTCAGAAGATCACGGACAGAAAATCTTGAGTGTACTACAGAGTTTTAGAGAACAGAATGTCTTTTATGATTTCAAAATAATTGTGAGAGAAGAAATAATCCCGTGCCATCGCTGTGTGCTGGCGGCGTGCAGTGACTTTTTCAGGTACTCTGCCCTCCTCTGTGCCTTAGATTTTATATACGAAAAATTATGTTGTATTTAACAGCTATACTCACTAAACCGCGCCCCCCCCCCCCCCCCGAGCAGGCTGTAGTGGTTTTCTATTACTGTGTGTATGGCCAGTAGAGGGACAGGTGGTATCTGCTGGTGGTACCCTACAGTTAGCTGTCTTGGTCATACTGCAGTAAACGCAAATACTCACTTGATACTCTGCTTTATGTCCAGTTTTGGAAGAAAAATGAAGTAGGGTTTTAATCTCCCAACAAATTTGGTAAAAACAAGGTAAGATTTAATATATGGTGCAAAGTGGAAATTATATTGTGTTTATGATTTTTTTTAACCCAAGGCCTTATGCTGTTCTGATTTTAATTACTCCTTTAAAACCCTGATTTTTATAGACATATAATTCAAGACCTGCTATGTTGACATTAGAGTAAATTTTTTTCTTTTTTTCTTTATTATTTTTATATTAATTACAGTTATTTACTTTGTATCCCAGCTGTAGCCCCCTCCCAATCCCACCATCCCTTCCTCATCTCCTTCCTGCCCCTCTCTAAGTCCACTGATGGGGGAGATCCTCCTCCCCTTCCATCTTATCCCAGCTTATCAGATCTCTTCAGGGCTGGCTACAATGTCCTCTTCTGTGGCATACCAAGGCTGCTCCTCCCTTGGGGTGGGGGAGGGGGGGTCAAAGAGCCAGCCATTGAGTTCATGTCTGAGACAGTCTCTGTTCCCCTAAGTAGGGATCCCACTTGGATACTGAGCTGGGATGGGCTATATCTAGGCAGGGGTTCTAGGTTATATCCATGTATGGTCCTTGGTTGGAGAAACAGTCTCAGAAAAGACCCCTGGGCCCAGATATATTTGGTCCTTGTGGAGCTCCTGTCCTCTCCAGGTCATGCTAACTCCCCCTTCTTTCATATGATTCCCTGTACTCTGCCCAAGGTTAGGTTATGAGTCACAGCATCTGTTTTGATACACTGCTAGGAAGAGTCTTTCAGGGGCCCTCTGTGGTGGCTCTTGTCCTGTTACTTGTTTTTTCCTATTTCCAATGCACATCCCATTTGTCTTTCTAAGTGAGGATTGATCATCTTACCCCGGCTCCTTTTTCTTGTTTATCTTCTTTTGGTGTATAGTTTTTAATATGTTTATCCTGTCTTATATGTCTATTTCCCATTTATAAGTGAGTATATACTATGTGTGTCTTTCTGCTTCTGGGATACCTCACTCAGGATGATCTTTTCTAGGTCCCACCATTTGCCTGCAAAGTCCAATTTCTTTGCTTTTAATTGCTGAGTAGTATTCCATTGTGTAAAAGTACCACAATTTCTGTATCCATTTAGAGTAAATTTTATAGACGTTATTTAGCATGCAGTTCTTGCTGTCTGCTATTTGCTGGGGTTTTGCTTGAATTTGGAGCTCAGTTCTTCACAACAATGTCCTTGGCCAGGGAGCCTCCAGCACTCTTGAACTAGCTGTTTCTTTCCTTAAACTGTAACTCTTTCTCTCTGCTTTTTGTTTCTTTTTATACTCTGAGGCACTCTTTGGACTCCATGTCCCCTCCGCCCCCCAACATTAGACTCTCTTACTCCCAGACCCCCTTTGTCCTCTCCCCCTTCTGAACACAGCTTTCCTTCCATGTAATGTTTTGTATCATTTTTCCT